GGGGGGGGGCGGGCCGGCCACCCCCACCCCCGAACACGCGGGCGAGCAGGAGGAGGAAGCCGGCCGCGGGCGGGAGGGAACCGGTTGCTTCCGGAGACAGGAGCTGGGAGGGGCCGGGCGGCGGCGGCATGGTGTCCGGAGGAGTGCACCCACCTGGCCCAGAGGGCGCCGGGGGGGGGGGGTTTGGACAACCGATAGTTGAAAAAGAACTTTTTACAATCTCGGGCAAGAAACACGTTTTCCAAGGGGCATTCACAGCAGCGGCGTCTTTAGACACTGGGTGCTGCCGCCGCCGCCGCCACTACTCAAACGCTGGTCTGCTTCGGCCTCACCCGGGCAAAGGAAAGGAGGGACCGTGTCCTCGTCCTCCCCCATCCCCGTAGCTGCACTGGAGAGGGCGTCCACGTGGACACGCCCCACAGCCACTCTGAGCCTCGGCAGCGCCCCCACCAGGACGGCTTCCGGGGGCACTCCGATTGTGTGTGAAGTCGCCCTTGCGAGGGAGATTCCAGACAGCCCCAGGACGGTCATCTGTGCATTGACACACACACACCCCACACACACACACCCCAAACTGCTACCTTCTCACGCCACCTGCTTCGTTCTTTTTTTTGTTTTTAAAAAAGGAGGAGCCTAGGTAGGGCGTTGCTGCACAGAAATCAGGCAATACCTTTCAAAACATTTCTACCTATTTACTGAGACCTCCAGCAGTCCCCTTCCCCACCCAGAAGTCAGGTTGACCCAAAGGTGATTCATTGCTGTTTTTGTTTTTAAAAAGCATGTTTAATACTGTATAGGAATAATACAATACTTTGAACAACCTTTTTAAAAACCTCCTTCTATTTGCAGAGATTACAGCAAAGCTTTTGATTGTGTGGATCATGAAACGCTATGGCTGGTTTTAAAAGAAATGGGTGTGCCACAACATCTGTTTTGATGTGCAACCTGCACTCTGGACAAGAGACCACCGCCAGGGTAGAAGATGGAGAAACAGAATGGCTTCCAATTGGTAAAGGGGCAAGACAAGGACGTATTTTATCTCCCTGCCTCTTCATTCTATATGCAGAACATATAAGGAAAGCTGGATTTGATTTAGATGAAGGTGGAGTGAAAATTGGACAAAAGAACGTTAATTTGAGATATGCAGATGAGACATTACTGGCAGAAAATAGTGAAAACTTGAGACAGCTATAGATAGATAGTGACTCTGGGGCAAGTGATGCTCTGTCTTCTTGGTGCTTGGGGGGGGGGTCAACAGTGGGAGGGCTTCTAATGTCCTGGCCCCACTAGTGGACCTCCTGATGGCACTGGTATTTCTGGCCACCGTGTGATACAGAGAAGCCAAAGTTGGATCAGGCCAATGGCCCATCTAGGCCAACACTCTGTGTCACAAAGTGGCCAAAAGTAACAGGTGCCATCAGGAGGTCCAGCAGTGGGGCCAGGATACTAGAAGCCCCCCCACACTGTTGCCCCCCCCAAAGCACCAAGAATACAGAGCACCACTTGCCCCAGACTGAGAGTTCCTATCTGTACATAGCCACTGATGGACTTCTGCTTCATATGCTTATCTAATTCCCTTTTAAAGCCATCCATGCTTGTAGCCACCACCACTTCCTGTGGCAGTGAGTTCCATGTGTTAATCACTCTTTGGGTGAAGAAGGACTTCCTTTTATCCGTTCTAACCCGCCTGCTCAGCAATTTCATTGAGTGCCCACAAGGAGTTCTTGTATTGTGAGAAAGGGAAAAAGGTACTTTTCTCTACCTGCTCTCTCCCATGCATAATCCTATAAACCTCGATCATGTCACCCCTCAGCTGTCTTTTCTCCAAGCTAAAGAGCCCCAAGCGCTTTAAGCTTTCTTCATAGGGAAAGTGTTCCAACCCTTTTATCATTCTGGTTGCCCTTTTCTGCACTTTTTCCAATGCTATACAATCCTTTTTGAGATGCGGTGACCAGAACTGTACACAGTACTGCAAATGAGGTCGCACCATTGATTTATACAGGGGCATGATGATACTGGCTGATTTGTTTTCAATCCCCTTCCTAATAATCCCCAGCATAGCATTGGCCTTCTTTATTGCAGTCACACACTGTCTCGACATTTTCAATGAGTTATCTACTACAACTCCAGGATCTCTCTCTTGGTCAGTCTCTTCCAGTTCGTACCCCATCAACGTGTATTTGTATTTAGGATTTTTGGCTCCAATGTGCATCACCTTGCACTTGGCCACATTGAACCCCATTTGCCACATTTACTTACGAGGATGCCCACTTGCCCATCCTTGACTGATCCCTTTGGAGTGCCTCACAATCCTCCCTGGTTCTCACCACCCTGAACAGCTAACCCTTAGTTGCTTCAGGGTCAAGGACGCTGTTCTCCCTCCTGCCAGCCGCACACAGGAGGCAGGGGTGGAGTGCCATTAGCACTTCACCCCATGATAGATATGGCACACCCCTCAGCTTCCACACCAACATGAGATGAGACCTGGTAACACAGGGGCCTGGTAACACATCAGCTCCTTGCACTATATCCCAATCCTCTACAGAAGTTGCACATCCTGTCTTAATACCAGGATCCCACGAGGTAAGCCTGGGGGGGGGGTGTTCTCACCTGGTGGCTCAGCAACTGGCGGTGCTGCAGGGGGCATTGGGAAACTCGCTAGCACTCTCCGGTCATGCAGGCTTTGGGGCAGGCGGAAGTTGCTCTGGATCAGTTCCTCCTTTTCCCCAAAAAGACTTTCCTCCAGCACTGAGATCTAAAGGGGAAAGCGGCAGCAACAGGCAGGTCACCCAAAGAG